TCTGTGTTTAGGGTCTCACAGAGTTCCTTTGCAACTTTGCAACATCCATTTGCATTGATTTAGACTGCAGCATCTTGTTCTCCTGGTTAATATGTGTTAGGATATCAAACCATACAATTGTGCATATCAAAAACCTGAATGAAGCCAGTTCTTTTGCCAGGGCCTGAGCCTCTACTTTGGCAACGGGTCTTAAATGCGGTGAGTCTGTCAGCAAACAATCACCAGACGAATTAAAGAAATGGGGAATAATGTATATGTCCAGCTTCAGGAGAAGGTGAAAAAATTTATTTATTTTGCTTTAGCTCTTGATGAGAGCAATGACGTGCAGGACACGGCACAGCTGCTAATTTTTCTTCGCGGAGTTAACTCAAACTTTGAACTGTCCGAGGAGCTGGCAGCCCTACAAAGTCTAAAAGGCACAACGACAGGGGAGGATATTTTTGGTAAAGTGTGCCAAACGATGGAAGAGCTGGGTCTAGACTGGTCTAAGCTGGTCAGCATCACTACTGATGGGGCACCTAGTATGGTTGGCACGTCAAGGGGACTTATAGGACGCATGAACAGAGAAATGGAAGAAAGAGGTCTCACCCACCCATTACAAGTGCACTGCCTGATTCACCAGCAAGCACTCTGCTGCAAAGTTTTAAAGTGGGAATGATCGGTCATGAAGGTGGTGGTGTCATGTATAAACTTTATCAGAGCAAACAGACTTAAACACCGGCAGTTCCAAACCTTTCTTGCGGAGCTAGAATCTGCTCACGGAGATGTGCTTTGTAAGAATCAGCTCTTTGGTTTAAACCATGTTTAAACTTTGGGGATTCGAATCAAAGATTCGAACATGATTCACGTAGAATTATTTAAAGCTTACACTTAACTTAAGTATTTGTCCAGCAAATAGAACGTTTAGTGTAAAGCAATCCTGTATTATATTATTATGTGGCCAACAATAACAATATAAAAACAGTATCTAATTATTTAATAAGCAAGGTAGCAGTATCTGAAGCTGAGGCATTAACTTATAAAGCACACAACACACCAACACGGATCTTAAAACGAAACAAAAGTTTATTGCTACTCTATAACACAAAGGACTAATCTAACGTTACGTAAAACAAACAAACGCACATACATACACACACTCACAAGCAGTTTGAGGAGAGTTATGACTGAGTGGATTCAACTTCTAGCATTTGCTACGTTCTTAGCATTGCAACCTGAGAGAAACCATAAAAGCAGAGAATTTTGCTATTCTTTACTACTTAAACATAATTCACACCAGATTCAGTAATGGGTAGAAACCTTGTTTGTGCTACTTGCGTTCTGATGTAATTTTGGTTTCCTCGACTGGTCCAAAGGGAAATCCCGGCGAAGCTGATTGGTCAGCGTAGCAACTTCAGTGACGTGATGGAATTCCCTTGTCGGTGAAGAGGGGTTTCTTAGTCGGTTGCTAGGGATACGGATGTTGGACAAGGCGGCGTTCGAAGTCCTTCCTGGGTTCCTGTAGTTATGATGAGTTTCAGAGTTTGGATGTGTTGACCCGATGGCTTGTTGTTGAAGCGGTTGCACAAGCAGATCGGGGGTCGAGCCGGCAGCAAGTGAAGGTCGCGGTCTGCTCCGTGATGTAACGAGGCTTCCGGCGAGGCGATGTAACGGCCACAGCACGAGAAGAGCGACGTCCGGGCAGCGACGGCGGTGACGACTGGCAAAGATGACCGGCAAAAGACGACGATGAAATTCCTTCGTTCAAAGTTTTATAGGCTTTGGTAGAGGCTTGGTCTACACAATGCTTGTCCAATCAGAGAAGGTGCGGGGTGGAGTCACACCCCAATTCTGCCCTCTAGAAGGCCGGGTTGACACCTGGTGTGGGTGCTGCTTTGATAGCATAGTGGTTAAAATAAAGTCTCATAACATGGACACTTTTCATAGTATGGTTTCTTCATATAAACCAATGCATTTGAAATGTTTCTAGCTTTCAATCAATACCAAACATGAAGTATTTCACAAACATTCTGTAGATTTCATTTGTCACTGAGGGCTATTACTCAATAACTATCCATAACAGTTTTGTTAAACACATGGAACATGTACACACAAAAACCTACAGAAACATAAAGCAAACGTACATTACTCAAATAAACTGTTTTACTTAAATGTCCATTAAACTTTGGAAGCGTTTCTGATCGCTTCTGTATCTGCCTGAGAATGTGTATTCCTTGCAGACGCCAAAGGACACGCGAACCAAAAGGTACTTCTCAAAAAACGGTTTGGTGGGTTTTTGATTGTAGAGCCTCTTATTGTTTTAAGGTGTAAAGTTAATTAACACGCAACTGTGATGTTGACTGGCTAGTCATCCTGTGGATTGCCTTTTGCTGGGTGCCTGTGGATTGCTTTGAAAATGAAATCAAAGCTCAGACATGTAGGCACCAACCAATCTTTTAAGGATAACATGGTCTATGGCTTGTTCGGTTCTGGAACGATCCGTTGACTCTCTACAGCTTTACCATACTGAAGTCCGATGGTTAAGCCGTGGCAGAGTTTTGAGGCGTTTTTACGAGCTGCTACCCAAAATTAACGCCTTCTTTCTGACAAAGGGTAAAACTGTCCCAGAACTGATTGACGCAGAATGGAAATGGGACCTCGCCTTTTTAACAGATGTGACAGAAATGTTGAACAGCCTCAACTTGCAGCTCCAAGGCAAACGGAAACTAATATGTGGTACGTATTCCCTCATAAAAGTATTTGAGGTGAAACTAGCACTGCTTGTGGGACAAGTGCAAAAACAAGACTTCACTCATCTCCCAGTAACCCAAAGTTTTTCAGCGGAGAAACCAGTGGCTCCATTCCCAGTTGAAAAGTGCGTGGAAGCGCTGGAAATGCTGATGGCGGAGTTTGACGCGCGATTCCGTGAGCTACACGTCTACGCTAAAGAAATCCGCCTATTTCAGAACCCATTCGCTGCTGACATTAACGAAGCCCTGCCTACGTATCAGTTTGAGTTGGCTGAGGCCCCGTTTACACTAGTGCGTTTTAGTTTTAAAACGGCGTTGTAGAATGAAAACGATCCGTGTCCACACTCGCGTTTTACCCAGCGTTTCTGAACTGCTCTCCGTCCACACCAAATTGCTGAAAACACACATCACTTGACCACACACACACTCTCGGGCAAGCGCTCCAGCATTTCTACCCAGATGAGAGCTATGCTTGTCGGACTGCTCATCAAGCATCTCACGCTGGATCTAATCTCACTATATTTGCTAAACGTGATATTTCATTCATCTTGTTGTTTTTATCTAACGACATAGGCCAATTCCCTGACTTTGGTCATTGGAATCTATTAAGTTACTTGTTCACGGGTAACATGTTTTGGTTAAGCGCAAAGATAAGTTAATGATTAATCCAGGTACTGATCGCTTGCCTTTATTTCCTACAATGTATAAACTTATTGTATGTTATACTTTTATAATTATCGATTATTAAAACTGATATTCAGCAAAAGAGAGGGTACGTTTCGTAATTTCACTGAAATTGAAAGGAGGCAGTTGTTATAGGCTCCGTTTTGTTATAAATATCCACACAGTGAAGATGACGCTCATATATGCAGCACGGCGCCTCAACATTTCTGCTGTCTGTTAAGTTGCTAATATTAAAAAGAAAATAGGCAGTTCCTTAAATCATGTTTACATTTTATTGTTGAGAAAGTGAAACAACGTAGCCAGGGTGATGTGAATGAAGTTATAAAGTACACTGTTCCCTGTGAAGATTTACCCTTGTCCTCGGTATGTTTTACATATCAAACTGAGAAGGGGGAGACTGCAGCCTTGATCAAACTTGCGAAGTCTGAACTTACAAGAAGAGGATGCAAAACTGAACTGTGTGTGGGCTACTTAATATTGAGGAAAAGCCCCAATCAGATAGGCAAATGTTTGCAGCCCCGCCTCCGTTTTCAGATGTCTCCGTCTTTCCCCATCCACACTGAGACGGAGCAGCAGCGTTTCAGAATGAAAACGGCCTCTCCAGCATTTTCAAAAAGCTCCGTTTTCGGCGCTCGAGAACTCCGGCGTAGTGTGGACGGATGGCGTAACCGTAGCAAAACTTATGCGTTTTCAAACTAAAACGCACTAGTGTAAACGGGGCCTGAGTTACAGAACTGTGATGTTCTGAAAGACGCATTTAAGCCCAACACTCTCACTGAATTCTATGATGCCCTCCCCAACGACACATACCCAAACATCAAAAGGCATGCAATAAAGATTACCACACTTTTTGGCAACACGTATATTTGTGAGCAAACCTTTTCATGCATGAAACTGATGAAAACACAGACGAGATCAAGACTCACTGATGAACATTTGCATCAGTCTTTGAGACAGGCTGTGACAGGAAGGGAACCTGACATTGGACTTCTCACCAGTCAGAAGCAAGCCCACAGTTCACACTAATATGCAATTAAATGTTTGAATTTGATTAGCACTGAATATAAAAAAGTCATTATAATGATAATCAACTATTCTAGCATTAGAAGGTATACATACAGTTAAAATCATAATAGTCAATCCGAACCATGTAATTCTCCATTATACTGTAAGGTGACCCGGCCCCCCATTAAAAAAGGAAAAATTATGTGGCCATCTAATAAAAAAAGTTTGGGGACCCCTGCACAAGAGTTTGAGCATGCAATATTTTGTTGTATGGCGCTGCGAAAAGGGGCGGGAATAAACAAGATGATTAGACATTAAAAAAGTGAGCGATTGGAATATATTTTTAATTTGTCCAGATAGATCATGTTTTGATCTTTGTTTGGTTTTCGCAGGTCAGAGTTCACCAAGCTTGAACTCTGCAATGCAGTGAACTGCAAAACTTGATGCACAAACTTGCGTTTACAGTCTGACGCATTTGCGTGCATATGAATGGGAGTCTATGGGGAGAAAGGTCCAATGTAACCGTGGCTTAGGTGCAAGTGAATGGTTTCTCTCCAGTGTGGATCCTCATGTGTAGATTGCAGTTTGATGATTGGCTGAAACTCTTCCCACACTGAGTGCAGGTGAACGGTTTCTCTCCCGTGTGGATCCTCATGTGTAGATTCAAGTTTGATGACTGGCTGAAACTCTTTCCACACCGAGTACATGTGAATGGTTTCTCTCCAGTGTGGATCCTCATGTGTCGGTTAAAGTGTGATGATTGGCTGAAACTCTTCTCACACTGAGTGCATGTGAATGGTTTCTCTCCAGTGTGGATCCTCATGTGGTGATTAAGGGATGATGATTGGCCGAAACTCTTCCCACACTGAGTGCATGTGAATGGTTTCTCTCCAGTGTGGATCCTCATGTGTTGTTTAAGAGATAATGAGTGTCTGAAACTGTTCCCACACTGAGTGCATGAGAATGGTTTCTCTCCAGTGTGGATCCTCATGTGTTTATTAAGGGGTGATGATTGGCTAAAACCTTTCCCACACTGAGTGCATGTGAATGGTTTCTCTCCAGTGTGGATCCTCATGTGGTGATTAAGGTGAGATGAGCAACTGAAACTCTTCCCACACTGGGAGCATGTGGAAGGTTTCTCTCCAGCGTGGATTATCATGTGGTGATTAAGGGATGATGAGTGGCTGAAACTCTTTCCACACCGAGTGCATGTGAATGGTTTCTCTCCAGTGTGGATTCTCATGTGTATATTAAGGGATGATAAGCGGATGAAACTTTTCCCACACTGAATGCATGTGAATGGTTTCTCTCCAGTGTGGATCCTCATGTGAATCTTAAGATAGCCTTTTCTTCCAAAACTTTTTCCACATTGAGTGCAGGTGAAACGATTTTCGTCTCTACTTTTCAAAATACCCTCAGTCTGTAAATGAGTTTTTTCCTCAATTTTGACATGATGTTCCTCCTCTTTACTCCCCTCATTCTCTTCAATTAGATCTGAAAAAAAAACATCACTTTTCATTTAACCTTAAAAATCTCATCAAAAGCGTAAAGGTGAAAAGACACTGGAAATATTGGCTACACACTGTAATTTTGATGCACATTAAATGTAAAATAAATCAGATCATATTTTGTTCAGTCCATTAACGTGTGCACATTTAAGCAGATTCAATTCAATTCATCTTCATCTAGTGCTTTTACAATGTAAATTGTGCTGAAGCCACTTAACTTAGAAGTTCTAGTAAATTGAAACTGTGTCAGTCCAGTTTTCAGAGTTTCTCATAAAAGTCATTTTGGTCATATTGATAAGACACAGATTTGAAAGCTGTAAGTGGCCTATTTTAATTTGTATATACTCAGAATTTTAACAAAATGTTTTTCTAAAATTTGTTAAGCAGACAGGGAATACTTGTTCATTGTGTGCCTGACCAGTAAACACATCAGAAAAAAAAGTTCTGAGGTAACAGTTGAACAAACAGCTGAATATTTGTCTCGCAAACATGAGACATACCTGTTCAGCATCTGCATAAAGACTGAAATGTGCACCTTTCCCCTTGTGTGCTGTTGGGTCATTTTTATCCATTCTGGGTTGATTTTGTGGATTAATTTGGTCAAACTTTCTGTGTTTTAGCAAACGGACTGATATTTGGGAACATCATATTTTGACATAATCTGGGAAAATGCTTTGAAATAAAAAATGAATCTCTCATTCGTTTCTGTAATAGTTAAATTACAGTGAGTTCATGCATCTAGCATATTATTTTATAGCTATATTCTACTGTAACATGCTACGTCAGTTAGCATTAAATTATAAATCGACTTTCTTTTAAATATACCTAAGATGGCTGGAAGTACACATATCAACCATTTATTGGCGCAGTCGTGTAAATGATTAGTTGAAGCCTTTTAATGTTTATTCAGATCTTATTTTCATTCAACAGCAATAGCTGGATGCCTTCATCCATATTAGGGATTTCCTGGAATGTTCTGCTACTTTTGTGAGGCATATATGGAATTTTTGCTCAAGTGTAAATGAAACAGGCATTAAATGCATTTACATGCAAGATTTTCTACCTTGTATTATTTGTAACTAAATGACTGTCCGTGCTCAGAATGAGCGCTCAGAAGTTGGTTAAGCTGCTCTGTCACAGAAAGCTACAAAATAAGCGACCTGAATACAGATATAGAGAAACAAGCTTCCACACATAAGATTGCAGACAAAGTAGTTGATGTGGACGTTGTTCGGCTTTTTAAGTTCCCATAAACGTTTTGTTTCGGCGCTCTGCAAACTGTGCGGGAGAGCGATGCCGACTAGCATCGGGAACACATCAAATAGGTTCATCCACCTTCCTGACACCAAACACAGATGGCTATGAGGCGCAGTGTAGGGTTTCGCATATCTACACATGAATATACACCTATAAATTTCTCGCATATAAACATATACTATGTTCAAAACAAGTATGACACTTGCACATATATAAACCTACTGCATGCATACACCCACATACACATGCACAGACATATAAACCCGATCCGAACATAAACTTGATCCTCGAATAAACACCCAAATTAACACACACACACACACACACACACACACACACACACACACACACACGCACACACACACACAAACTCTCTGAATGCTGGTATAGCACTCAAGGACACTTACAAAATAAAATTCACAAACATATGTATCAGGAATCTGGTTATTGCAAAGCTGATGAAATAGAAAGAATTTGATTAATAGAAGTATTAAATCTGTTAAATTATAAAAATGTGTTATACAAAATATTAGTTTATAAGACTATATAAAAAATATAAGAACTATTTTATGTTAAATCCTTTAACTTAATTAGGTAATTACATACACAAAAATAAATAGTCAGAAAGAACCCTTAAAGGACATTTAAGATAAAAAGCAACCAGAACTATAATTATACTCAAACAACTCCTTTTCTTTTGCAAATATTAATGTATCCTATACTCTTTTTGATTTGTTTTTTAATTATAATTCTTATTCTTTTTCAATTTTTTTTTATTAAATTTTTTTTACGATGTGGATTTTGGTATTATTTTGATTGTTAAATATTCAGTATATACAAAAAAAAACTCTGATAAAAGTTTCTGTCCATCACGTTGGTTAAGCTAACCCCCATGAACTAAGTCTATATATATATATATATATATATATATATATATATATATGTCTGTTTGCAAAGGAAAAATACAAAGAGAATTTTATTTAAAGAAAAATTATAAGAGCCTGGAGGTATTATAGAGTTTGCAAATTCAGTTTGCAGACATTTGTAGGTACATACATCTATTGTGTGCGTTTTTGGCAGTTTTTTCTTGTCTTTTTAATATTGTTCATATCGATATCAGAATCATATCGTATCGACTGAAATTAAGAAGTATATTGTGATATAAATTTTTGCCATATCGTCCAGCCCTAATCTAACAACATATTCCCCGACTTTGGTCTTTTGAATCTATTACTTGTTCTCGGGTTATGTGTTTTGGCTGAGCGCAAAGATAAATTAACAATTAATGTAACCTCATTCTGTATATTGACTGATCGCTTGCCTTTATTTCCTATTATGTATAAACTTATTGTACATTATACTTTCATAATAGCCATTATTGGTTAATAAAACTGATATTCAACAAAAGAGAGGGTGTGTTTCGCATTTTCAATGAAAATTAAAGGAGGCAGTAATGTTACAGGCTCTGTTTTGTTATGAATATGCATACAGTGAAGATGACGCTCTTATACGAATCTACATGATGCCAAAACATTTCTGCTGTCTTTTAATTTGTTAATATCAAAATGAAAATAGCAGTTCCTTCTGTCATGTTTTCATTTTATTGTTAAGATAGTGAAACAATGTATTGGATGATGTAAATAAGGATTTTAAAGTACACTGTCCTCAGGAGTCTGTTTTCCATATCAAACACGCGAAGTCTGAACTTATAAGGAGAGGATGCAGGACTGAACTGTGTGTAGGCTACTTAATATTGAGGAAAAGCCCCAGAGAGGCGAATGTCTGCAGCCACGCCTCTGTTTTCAGAAGTCTCCGTCCCGCCCCTATCTGTAATGAGACGGAGCAGCAGCATTTTAGAATGAAAACGGCCTCTTCAGCGTTTCCAAAACGCTCAGTTTTAGGCACTTGAAAACTCTGTAGTATGGACGGATGGCACAACCGTAGCAAAACTTAGCGTTTTCAAACTAAAACGTATTAGTGTACTTACATAAACTTTATTATTAACAATTATGCAAATAGCAAAGAAACTATATTTTAACACTATCAACCACAAATAAGATAACCATACTCGCATGAAAAAAATTATTAGTAATTTATTGTGAATAATGCTGTCGTTTTGAACTATACTTAAGTACTTGAAGTAGTTTGTTTTAATTCAATAGTTGCTGTGGTAATATAACCACTAGCCTGTGGTAATATGATATACACATGTATAATTGTTTATTATAATTGTTTATTTCATATAACATTACATTTTATTATATAGGCCTATGTTTATCATTATATGCTATACGTTATAGGATACACTTTCCATAGCAATGAAACTATAAGTGGCCTGTAAGAACATTTTTCATATGAATTATGAAGGTAAGAATAGATTTACCCGAGAGGAATTCTATCTTCCACTGGGTCTAGATGTTGTCATGTGTTCGTTATCATAGTTGGTTGATGCAAAACTAGACATATCAAGCTTTCTATAGATATATCTCTCATGCCTCTTTTTTGAGTATTTGCTGAGTTTCAGTTCATTTTAATGGCGTCTTTTTTCTGACCACAGTCTACATGTTGTGCGAGTCTCTTGCAGATGATTGTAATAAAGCTTCGTGGGCGTGGTAGCATTAACTATAATGAGCTCAGACTGAGAAACTAAACATAGCGTTGGTTTCATACTAAATACTTTATCAAACATTGTTTGTTTTCAACATGCACTCACTGCATTTAAAAGTACACACTTCAAGCTTACTATAGATATGCGTCTCGTGTCTGTGTTTTGTTTTCGTGGAGTTTCAGTGCATTTTCCTCACACATTTCTCAAAACAGTTCATGGAGAGAGGAAAAAAAAAGAATGCCTACACTTTATTATCCTTATTTTGCAAAAGCACACACACTTTTGTTGTCATTAGCCCCTTTCACACATACAGACCTTTCCAGAAAATTACCGGCAATTTTCCAGAAAGGTTGTATGTGTGAACAGGCCCTTTTTGAAAATACCAGTAAATTTGTTCTGGCTATTTTCCGGAAAGAGTAGTTGTAACATTACCGGTAATTTGCTGGAATGCTGCGCTGTGTGAATGCAGAAGGAAGATTGCCGGAAAGAGCGCGTACATGTCTAGAACGTGCTGACGTGAGACGTCTACTTTAGCCAATCAGAACAGTCAGACGCATTCACATGCGCGCGGTTTATGAGAATAAAAGCCTTCGAATATTTTTCCAGGCACCTTTAGCTGCTAGATGTCAGTCAGATAACGTTTCTATGTTCCTTCTTAATGCTAACTGTGTAAACAATTATCGATAAAATGTTTATGATAATCTGTTGTTTGTTTACCTTCAAGCTTTGCGTGTGCCCGTGAGCGCCCATAGCGCCAGCACACACACATATCATGAACATCTCGACATGCGAAAGTGTTTCTCTATGTTTTCATTGGAGTTGTACTCAATACTGATCCATCCGAAGAGTTTGTAATGTAGTCAAATGTTTAAAAACACAAGCGCAACCGCTTAGAGGTCATTTCTGGTTAATGATGTCAGAATTTACCGGCATTTTGCGATGGATGTGTGAATGCTCTTTTCCGGAAAAATTCCGTAACGTCCTCGCCTGTGTGAACAGCGCTTTTTTGAATATACCGGTAAAGTAGTTCCGGAAATTTTCCGGATATTTACCGGTATCAGTGTGTAAAAGGGGCTATTGTGAGTGTACACAATAAAAACTAGACACTTAACTGGTTCGATTGATGTATTGATCTTATCTGCACGGTCAAAACTGATCTTTTTGAAAAAGTTCTTTTTGTTGTTATAAGGAGAAGACTTCTCAAAACGCGTGTACGCGGTCTTCGACCTCTGGGGGTTAAACACCTATAGAAGGGTTAATGCTGCCAACTGATGAGTAAACAGTAAAACAGTAAAAATGACACATTTTACTTCTTCCCAACACGGAAAACACCCAACAGTCTAGAATGCATGATTATTTGGTGTCATGGCTTTAAGGTTAAAAAAAATGTGGTTATAATGGAAGTCAATGGGTCAAAAACAGCCAAGAACATAATAAAAGGGTATAGGGTTGCACGATTTATCGTATTATCACGATGATGATATTTGTACCCCACAATCAATAATTAAATATAGTCAAGATTTTACAGTATTAACACCAAGCCATTATTTCAATAAGTGCAGTTTACGGATTGTATCGCAACACAAGCATGAGGTGAATGCATCTAGATTGCAAGTGTTTTTTTTCGAGGAATGTAATGGTGATCAGGTAGCCTTTGCCCCTGTTCAGTCCAAACTTCCCAAGATAACACAGCAAACCTCATTAACCACCTTAAAAGCAATCACAAAGTGGTTGTCATCAGTGGGTTAATGAGCTCAGGAGAATTCTGCTTTGCATGTTTCTATGCATTACCAACATTACTCAACCAGACCACATTTGTTTTAGAAGTGCCTGACTCTCTTGCATGTGTAGATACAATAGCAACCCAACATTCTCTTCAGAATTTCCATCAAGCTAACTTTAATACGAAATTAAAGCCGGTAACAAACATGAAGTACAATTGTGGTGCAGCGATGAGATGAATCCGCTTGTTAAGTGACGTGACGCGAAGCGGCTTCCGGGTCCAAGCGCTCTATTCAACTGAATGGGGAGACTCATAAAATGGTAATAATAAACGTTTACAAAGCGATTTAATGCTTTCGAAAATCACGATCGCAGTATATATGTCCAGCCTAATATCCGATGCCCAGAAAGTGATACATTTTTTATAAATTGCTAAATTTTAGGTATTTGTTATGCAGCAAGCCCAGAGATTGTTGTGTACACTATGATTTTATATAAAATTAACTTTAATGTGTGATAGGAATAAAACGTGATCATAAATGAATGATTTCTCCACTCAAATGAATGGCAGCTTGGACCCGGAAACAGTATACATACGTCACAAACACATCACCACTTAACAAGTAGATGCGTTGAGTGACTGATTAGAGGCGTGGCTATGCAGGACCACGGTGTGTGTGTGTGTGTGTGTGCAAACTCGCTTTCAGAAAGTAGAGACAGAAAGCGCTTACTGCTGTGGGGCTGCCTCTGATAATAATAAATAAATTAAAAACTGTTAAAAATAAAAAGAGTTAGAGAAAGCCCATCTGATATTGCTTTATTGATCCTGTGGGAAAGCAATAATGAATCGGTTTTAATATTTTTTGCATAATGTGTTGAAAAACTACATTTTGACAAAACTTAAACCCAAAAGATTCATGGCAAAACATGACTATCAAGCCCAACAACCTCCCGTGCTGCCCCTGATCAGGAATAAACACCAACCTATTTGTTGTTCAGAGTCTTCATTTTTAATTTTGCAGGGTTCTGGATCACTCATGTTCTCGCTGTCCTGCAATAAACTCTTCACTGAAGCATGATGGGAATATTCCAGCGTTTATAGCTGAACCGGAGGAGGAGGAGGAGCTTCACTGGAGTAGAAGACAATAATTGTAATTACATACTGTTTGCATATATTTATATTTTAATGCCATATCAGCAGCACTGGCTATATTCATGGCAACACTTGTATGAAATATTCAATATATAATTGACAATCATAACTCTTTCTGAAACATCACTAAATGTTTCTTTTAAAACACACAAATAAAATAACAACGATAAGTTCTTATAAGCTCTTTCAGTCTGATCAATGATAAAAAAAAATCCTCCAGAAAACACACTTTTAAACATTTGCCTTAAAATATTTCCTGAATAAAAACATTCTCTAATATCATTTAAAAATATGCATTCTATTAAAATTTTTTACCATTAAAATATTCTCACACAAGTTGTAGGTTTTTGCCCTGTTCAATAAATGTGTGCAAGTCTTGTGTGGCTGATTCTACATCTCTGAATGTGCAAATATAAAACCAACTTTACCTCTATCATCTTGTGTGTGCAGCGTGATCATGTTTCCAATTGCTTACATTTCTATAGAAAGTTGGTTTTATATTCGGAAATTTGTTCATTTAGAAGTCTCTAATGTTTACCATGTTACTTTGAATATTCGATCGGAATTAGCATTTATGTGGCTTGAAAACAACATTAGCACTGTTTATTTGACTATGAACAATGTACTTTGATAGTCATTGGCTAATGTGATTTCGCTATTTACAGTTTGCAAATAATATTTTTATGAAGTTATATTTGAAAGTCCAAATGTGCGAATATAAATCCAACTTTACCTCTATTACATTATAGAGGTAAAGTTGGATTTATATTGGCACATTCGGACTGTCCCCTAAATAATATAATTTCATAAAAGTATTATTTGCTAAATAATAATAGCGAAATCATATTAGCTGTTTACAGCGTAGCATCGAGCTAAAAACAAGGAGTATATTAGCATTGAGCACATAAAGCAGTTCAACCTGCAAGATAATTGAGCAAATCTGCAAACACTACAAAGGTCAGATATAATACACTTACTTTAATTAGACGCACAACGACCGTAACATAAGCGGAATTAAACAGCAAAGACTCTGCCTTATGGGCGGGATATTTGCCTACACGCTGATCAGCGAAAGCTGATTGGCTGCCTGCATGTGGTTCTGAAAGCTGACTGACTGTCTGTAAGCGCTTATCGAAAGCAGATTGGCTGCCTGCTTTTCAATCAGTCTCATGACAACAGAGGGAAACGTTTGTGAACAAAAGATTAATAGATTTTTTTTTATGCATTAGTGATTTACAAACAAAGCAAAAAAAAAAGACAACAAACAAAAATTCCCAAGACAATTAAAATAAAAAATTAAATAAAAAAGACGAAAACAAAAGGAAGACATTCACAAGACACCAAAAACAGATTCATAATAGCTTACAATAGACAGAGCTTTTGGAATTTTTACAGCTTTGAGAGACTTCATTACCAAAATACATTTTTGACAAATACCTTGTATAAAGGAGATTTTGAAAGTCGACATTTGTGGATAAAGAATTTACCATTAAAAAAAAAATAAAATTAACAAAATTGTTAATTTGTTTATTAGCATTTTCAAAATAACAAATAATTTATTTTGCATTCAATGTTATTGACATATTATTTTTTAGCAGAATAATCAGAAAAACAGTCTTTCCAAAATAATTGCACACTCTGACAATCAACAAATAAGTGTAAAATCTTTAAATGAAATTCTATTACTTTTTATTCTTTATTTTCTATCTTATATTAAGTTAAATGACTGCACATTAAATTAACAAGTCCCGAGGGTATAGCTTTGATCACTGTCGAAAATTCTTAAAATTTAATAGGAAAATTTAACTTAGATAAAAATGATTCATATGAATAGATCCTTAAAGATGAATTAAATAAATCACTTACAAATACCAACCATTTCTCCAAAAATAAACTCTTTCCTTTAACAGTAATCAATTCGTTAATCCAAATTTTCATTCTGTGAGGAGAAAAATCATGCACAAAGCAAAGTTTCCAAGCCAAGAGTGCTTGCTCATGAAATTTAGATAATTTTACTGGTAATTTTGATGGTGAAAAATTGCAAGTCAAAAGAAAATTGAGAGCACCCACCTTCTTAAAGATAATGTGTGGAATAAAAAAACATAATGAATCCAGGTCAATTGCACATTTTTTCATCCAATTAATTTTAAAATGTATTGTTCATAACTATATAATCTAATATCTCAAAACCTCCGTTACATCTCTTCTCAGCCAATACTGAATTTTTAAGCTGGTGATGTTTGTTTTTCCAACAAAAATTTACTAATAATTTATTAATTTCTTTACCAACCGAATCAAGAATAAATAAAGATAGTCGTGGAAAAATTAATCTGGACATGCTTTCTACTTTTGTTAATAAAATTCTACCTAAAAAGGAAATACCCCTTCTCAACCAGTTGTCAAAAATAATTTTGTTTTCTTAACTTTGTTGTTAAAATTTAGTTGCTGCCTCGCTAATAAGTTTTTAGATATAAAAATTCCTAAATATTTAACACAATCTTTAACTGAAATATTAAACAACAATTGCTCACCAGAATCATGCACTGGAAGAATCTCACTTTTTTTTTTTTTTTTTTTTTTAGATTTAAATGAAGACCTAAGGCATTTGAAAAAAAAAACTTTAACTAAATTAATTGCAGTTTTAATTTGAAACTTATCTTTCAAAAATAGAGTTGTATCTTCTGCCAATTGTGATATTTTTATTTCTCTATCAAAATCAGTTATGCCATTTAGATTTGGATTTTTAATTATACTAATTGCATGTAATTCCACAACAGTCAAAAACAAAAATGGAGAAATTGGGCAATCCTGTCTCACACATCTATTAATAAAAAATCTTTTAGTTGTATTGTTCTGTACTTTAACTAAACTGTTTATGCCTTTATAGACCATTTTAACAGTCTAAATAAACTTATTTCCAAAACTAAACATCTGTAAACCCTGTAACAGAAACTGGTGCTCAATTGTGTCAAATGCCTTGTAAAAATCAAGGAACAAAATAAGTGCCTCTGAATTGACAAATTGTTTATAATCTAGTAAATCTAATACTAGTCTAATATTTGAACTAATATGGTGTTTTGCCATAAAGCCAGTTTGGGAATCATTTATTATGTCACTTAAACTACTTTTTAATCTAGTAGAACACATACCAGGGCTAAAATTTTATAATCGGCAGACGGTTTCGCGTCGTCCGCCACAGTTTCGGCCCTTGTTTTGGCTCTCGAGGCGTGTCCAGCTGAATTCAATCAGCTAGTGCTTTGGAGTTATATAAACAACTAGTTCACCGCGGCAGCAGTCGCGGCAGCCTCGTGTGAAGACTGCCTCGTGTGAAGACCGACTCGTGTGAAGACCGACGAGGGTAAAGACCATCGACTCTACCTGCGTGACTAAGACCGACGGGTGTAAAGACCATCGACTCTACCTTTGCCATCGACTCTACCTGCGCGACTAAGACCGACGAGTGTAAAGACCATCGACTCTACCTTCGCCATCGACTCTACCTGCGCGACTCTACCGAGCAAAGACACCGACAAAGCACTTGAGTACTTTACTTTCTTGTTTTACTTTATCTTTACACTTATTTTTGTTGTCAGTGCACGTTTATTATGTGTTTTCTAATTCCTGTTGTTACTAACACTCGCAAAACACGGGAGGTACGCTGCAGGCGTAATCCTCACAACCTTCGTTCAATACATGTATCTGCTATTTCACAACTCTCTCTCTCCGTGGGCCTCTGGAATTGTCAATCAGCTGTTAACAAGGCAGATTTTCTTACCTTCATAGCTACATATTCTGACTATAATCTCATGGCTCTAACTGAGACCTGGTTGAGGCCGGAGGACACTGCTACACATGCTACTCTTTCTGCTAATTTCTCTTATTCCCACACTCCTCGTCAGACAGGGAGAGGAGGTGGGACTGGACTACTAATTTCCAAAGAATGGTACCGTCCCTGCCAACAATCAGCTCCTTTGAATTCCATGCAGTCACCATTATCCACCCCTTCTACATAAATGTGGTTGTCATCTACCGCCCACCAGGTAAATTAGGTCACTTCTTAGATGAACTGGATGTTCTTCTCTCATCTTTTTCTAATTTTGACACTCCCTTGTTGGTGTTAGGTGACTTCAACATTTACGTTGAGAAACCGCAAGCTGCAGACTTTCAGACTCTGCTTGCCTCTTTTGACCTAAAAAGAGCACCTACTTCTGCTACCCACAAATCAGGTAATCAGCTAGACCTTATTTACACACGACACTGCTTCGCTGATCAAACAATAGTAACTCCACTACAAATATCGGATCATTTCCTTCTGTCTCTCAACATCCACATTACTCCTGAGCCGCCACACACTCCAACACTGGTTACCTTTCGCAGAAACCTACGATCTCTCAAACCCAATAGACTATCCACCATTGTTTCAGACTCTCTTCCTCCATCTTGCAAACTCTCTGCACTTGATTCGAACAGTGCCACTGATACACTCTGCTCCACACTAGCATCATGTCTAGACCGATTATGTCCTCTTGCATGCAGGCCAGCCCGTGCCAGTCCTCCTGCACCCTGGCTCTCGGATGCTCTCCGTAAGCATCGCTCAAAACTTCAGGCTGCAGAAAGAATTTGGCGGAAAACTAAAAATCCTGCACAGCTCTTAACATACCAAACTCTTTTGTCCTCTTTCTCAGCTGAGGTTACTTCGGCAAAGCAGACATATTACCATCTAAAAATCAACAATGCCACTAATCCTCGCCTACTTTTTAAAACATTTTCCTCCCTCCTCTATCCTCCTCCTCCACCCACATCCTCCACACTTACTACTAATGACTTTGCTACATTCTTTTGCACCAAAACTGCAAAAATCAGTGGTCAATTTGCTGCACCTACAACAAACACGCAAGATACACCACACACACTCACCTCTTTTTCTCAGCTCTCTGAGTCTGAGGTGTCCAAACTCGTGCTATCTAGCCATGCAACCACCTGTCCACTCGATCCCATTCCCTCTCATCTCTTGCAAGCCATCTCTCCTGCAGTCATACCAACACTGACTCACATAATTAACACATATCTTGACTCTGGTTTATTCCCCACTTCATTTAAGCAGGCTAGGGTAACCCCACTGCTAAAGAAACCCAACCTGGACCATACGCTACTTGAAAACTACAAACCAGTATCCCTGCTTCCATTCATGGCCAAGATTCTGGAAAAAGTAGTGTTCAATCAAGTCCTGGACTTTCTTACTCAAAACAATCTCATGGACAACAAGCAATCCGGCTTTAAGAAAGGCCACTCAACTGAGACTGCCCTGCTCTCGGTCGTGGAGGATCTAAGACTGGCTAAAGCAGACTCTAAATCATCAGTCCTCATCTTGATAGATTTGTCAGCTGCTTTTGACACTGTCAACCACTAGATCCTGCTATCTACGCTCGAGTCACTGGGCGTTGCGGGCACTGTTATACAATGGTTCAGATCTTACCTCTCTGACAGGTCATTCAGGGTGTCTTGGAGGGGAGAGGTGTCCAACCTACAGCATGTAAACACTGGGGTACCTCAAGGCTCTGTTCTTGGGCCACTTCTCTTCTCCATCTACACATCATCTCTAGGACCAGTCATCCAGAGACATGGATTCTCCTACCACTGCTATGCTGATGATACCCAGCTATACCTCTCTTTTCATCCTGATGATCCCTCGGTTCCAGCTCGCATCTGTTGGATATTTCACACTGGATGAAAGATCATCATCTTCAGCTGAACCTCGCAAAAACGGAAATGCTTGTAGTTTCTGCCAACCCGACTCTACACCATAACTTTTCAATCCAGATGGATGGGGCAACCATTACTGCATCCAAAATGGTAAAAAGCCTAGGAGTAACGATTGATGACCAACTAAACTTATCTGACCACATTTCTAGAACTGCTCGATCGTGCAGATTCGCACTCTATAACATCAGAAAGATCCGACCCTTCTTATCTGAACATACAGCTCATCTCCTTGTTCAAGTTCTTGTTCTCTCCAAACTGGATTACTGCAACTCTCTACTAGCTGGGCTTCCAGCTAACTCTATCAA